TGTGTGTGTGTGTGTGTGTGTGTGTGTGTGTGTGTGTGTGTGTGTGTGTGTGTGTGTGTGTGTTTGGCAGGAATGGAACCCGCCAATTAAAAAGCAGAAACCAGGAAAGAAACCAAAAATACACAGAGGAACTGAGGAGAAAGCGTAAGCTCATCAAACATACACAAATATGCAATAGTGTCTACATGTGTATATTTAACCCCACAATTTTCAACTATGAAGACTAAGAGACACCTATAGGAAGAATCTGAATTTTGAAATTATCTTTTTATCTTTAAACGTTTTTTTTTTTACTATTTCCATTTATTTTGCTTCTATAACTTGTCTTCTTCCAGACTAGTAAAAAGAAAACATCCAAAATATATAAATATAAAAAAAACATTTTTTTATTAGACTTTTTCTATTTGCGCCTATAGATTCCAATTAAAATCCATACTGTATATTTAAAGGCCTATTCATAAAATGAGTCAGAAATCTCCACTTCAGCAAATGTTAGTTTTATTCCTCTTTATATTCTGAATGTTTTGACAGAGTTTTGTTCATTCCTGGTTTATATAAATTTTTTCCCCTAAAAACAGCAAATTCATTTGTTTCTGGCTGTTGATAGTAATTTCCAAGTTATGGAGTGATAAAAACACATTTCCTGAATCCCTCTGTAAAAAAAACTAAACAAAACTCATTTTTAACCTGGCTTAATCCCATGTTTAGACTCTTGTTCTGAAAATGCATGCAAGTTTGTGCACATTTAGTTTGTGTCCATATTTAAACATTACATTTCATAAAACATGTAATACAAATTAATTGTCTTAATGTATGTGATTAATCAACTGGCAAAGTGTACATATTAGTTCAATGTCTGTCCTATTCACCTGTAATATTCTGCCTTAACTGAGATATTTTGCACGCAATGTGCTCTATTAAAATGTCAAAGGTAATATTAATTAAATCAAGTTAATTAGAAAAGAATTAGAATGAATCAGATTAGGAGCTGAAATGTGTAAGTATTGAGGTGCGAGTCTCTTTGGGTTTGGTCTCGGCTGAGCTGATTGAGGCTGGATGAGGGCTGATTGTGAGCTGCAGTCACTGAGGTGAAGGGTGTCATTTGTCCCGTCTGTGTAGCGTGTGATGCAGACCTTCATTTCCTCTCTGATGAATGACCTGGAGGTGATTTCATCTGGACTAGTCAGTTTAATCAGCCTTGAAGAGATGCTTTTGCACAAAATGCATTAAAAATGCTAAATTAAAATATTTGTTTCTGGCATGATATCGGGATGGCGGCACTGAATTAAACATGAGGTCATGTGACAACAATGTAGTATACTACTGTTTAAAATGCTTATTGCATAATGCATACTTATTTTAAAAATAGTAGGCAATATTCAGTGCGTATGTAGTACAGTATGTAGTCTGAATATTTCATTATTTATTTTTTTATTTTAATTTGTCTTTGATATTTGACAACACTTTACAATAAGCTCTCATTAGTTACGGTAATAAAGTTGTGTAACGTGGGTTTTAATCTTTGTTAGCATTATATAAAAATGTAGCCCATCTTAGCTCTGGTCCATTAAAAATATTAACATATACAACTTATATTAATATACAAAAACTATTATATTATATTATATATACATTGTTTTGCCTATGAAATAATCCACTCTTATTTTTGGACTGACAAAAATTCTGATCACAGACTTCAGATTTACCCACCCCTAATTTTCATGCAGAAAAAAAAATAAGAAGATTTGAGATGGGTCTGTAATTTGCCAGTTCACTAGGATCTAGTTGTGGTTTCTTAATAAGAGGCTTAATGACCGCCAGCTTGAATGGTTTTGGGACGTGACCTAAAGACAACGACGAGTTAATAATATTAAGAAGCGGTTCTTCTGCTACAGGTAACAACTCTTTCAATAATTTAGTGGGTACAGGATCTAACAGGCATGTTGTTGGTTTAGATGTAGTGATAGTTTATTTAGCTCTTCCTGTCCTATAGCTGTAAAGTATTTATACTTTACTAACTAAATAAAAAAAATAAAAAGGAAAAGCATCTTTACATACAGTGTGTGTATATATATATATATAAAATAAACAATAAAAATGACAAAAGCACATAATAAAATGATTAAAACAAACTAAAATTATAATGAAACTAAAAATAAAAAATATTAAACTTATTTTATCTTATTTTAATATTAAATTGATCAAAATATTAATAAATACTAAAATGTGACCCTGGATGGTTGCCATGGTAACCATGGTTAATTTTCATAAGGGAACGAACAAACTGGTTTGTATTCAGTTCTGATATCATTTTTCACAACAATAATTTGTGCAAAAATGTTTCGTGCAGAACACGTTCTTGAGATTATAATGGTTGATAATATCAGTGTCAAGCTAAGCTAACATGTCCATATGTAGTAGGCCATCGCATCAGTATTAGTAACAGAAGCACATCGCGTTTCGCTGAGGCAGATACAGAGAACTCATTCACAACACACAAACACAGTCCTCCACATAAACGCGCACACATACATACACGAGAACCCACATCAACAGCCTCAGCGAGAAGAAAACGCACACAATAGGCCTCAAGATATTGACGCACAAATGCATCGAGGCTGTGACACTGAAAACAGAAAGCCACCGCACGACAGCGTTTCAGACGTCAACAAAACTGATGACACAGCTCAAGTTTGGCCTTAAACGTGAGGGAGTGATATAGATGGCGCGGAACGGGGGAGTCATTTATTGTTTGTTTGTTTGTTTATATTTGTGTGCGCGAGTCTGTGCGTGTTGTACGGAACGAGTGAGGTGAGGGAAGGAAGAATATCTACTGCACCACTGTGTGACTGGATTCTTAATGGGAGGGGGATGGAGAGAGAGAGAGAGAGGTAGATGGCTTATCATTAAGTCATAATACATACTGGAGGACACAAGTGTGTGGGACGCAGACAGAGTTCAACACAGAACCGGAGGAGAAATCAAACAGGGCCGCTAATATGAACTAACTAGGCCTCCCACAAGCATGTTCAACATGCAGGCCAAGCACCATTACGACAGCTAGACGGCCTGTTTATTCATGTATTGCTAATATACTGAGAGAATCAGTATTACTAGCGGTCATCAACTTTTACTAGGGACCGCAACGATACCACCACCACCAAAAAAAAAAAAAAGCTGGTGCATTTTAAAATAAATTGGTGCTTGAAACCGAGCTAAGCATCAGCGTAAACGTATTTGTGCATATCTTTAGGCCTGCCTATGTGAATTCAGATGATGCATTTTGCATTCCTGGCTTGCCTGGTAATGTTTTAAAAATAACTTTAATTAATAACTTGAACATATATCATGCCCCCTAAAGATATAGTTCACCCAAAAATTTAAATTAGCTGAAAATGTGCGCACCCTCAGGCCATCCAAGATGTAGACGAGTTTGTTTCTTCATCAGATTTGGAGAAATGTAGCATTGCAACACTTGCTCACCAATGGATGCTCTGCAGTGAATGGGTGCCGTCAGAATGAGAGTCCAAACAGCTGACAAAAACATCACAAGTAATCTACACCACCAGTTTACATCTGGAGAAGACAAAAGCTGCGTGTTTGTAAGAGATAAATCCATCAGTATGGTGTTTTAACTTTAAACCATCTCTTCTGGCTAAAATATGGATCTGTAATCTATAATAACACTTCAACCATTAAAGGGGTCATATGATGCGATTTCAATGTTTCCTTTCTCTTTGGAGTGTTACGAGCTCTTAGTGCTTAAAGAAGATCTGTAAAGTTGCAAAGACTAAAGTCTCAAATCCAAAGAGATATTCTTTATAAACGTTAAGAGTCAGCCACACCTACCTAAAACGGCTCGTTCTAACACGCCCCCACATACCTACCTCACTATGTGGGAAGATTTGCATAACGCCGCCCAAATGTCCATCTCACGCTGGAGGTATTCGGCCAATCACAACGCACTGGATAGCTGGCCAATCAGAGCACACCTCGCTTTTCAGAACGATGAGCTTTGTAAAAATCGATGCGTTTCAGAAAGGCGGGGCATAGAGGAGAAACAATAATGTACAGTATGTGGAAAATAATGTGTTTTTTGAACCTTAAACCGCTTAAACACATTTCATTACTCCAAATACACAAAATAATGTTCTTTTTAGCAGCATCATATGACCCCTTTGAGTCCACCCTCTGTCTCACGTCAAAATCCACAATGTATTTGTTTAGAACTGTTTTGGCTTGTAAACTGTGCTTGATCTGTGCAGATTTCTCTCCTGATTCAGATTAGATGCATTTTTCACTGAAAAAAAGAAGAAGTATTATGGATAGAGGCCTTGTATTTTAGCAAGAAGCAACTGATTTGAAACATCGTAATGATGGGTTTGTTTCTTAAATAATTGATGGACTGGAGTGGTGTGGATTATTGTGATGTTTTTATCAGCTGTTTGGACTCTCATTCTGACGGCACCCATTCATTGCAGAGCATCCATTGCTGAGCAAGTGATGGAATGCTAAATTTCTCCAAATCTGATGAAGAAACAAATTCACCTACATCTTGGGTGGCCTGACTATTCATGTGACATGTTTAGAAATATATAAGATATGTTTATATATATTTTATGTCTGCCCATAGGCAGGACCTTCACGGACCGCTGATTGAAAACCCTAGAGCTGAACTTTGAACAAACAACTTAAATGACTTACTGCATCATGGTTGTCATCTCTGGCAAACATTTAGTGTCAGCTGTCTATTATAAACACATAGATATCAACATCTAATGAGGACAATTAACAAATATAAATGTTGTTTAAATGTAGCTCAAGTTACAAAACTAGCAATTTAAACATAATTTAGATAAGTGCTTTTCAAAGGTTGGCTCATTATGGGGACAAATTTTTGGGATGAAATTAATTTGTATTTCATGTCAAAATGCTGTTACTTACTAAAGACATTTTGTGAACTAAATATTCATCCCATGAGAGCGATATTTATTTTGCCCTGTCTGAATCACAGAGTTAATTTGGTCCACAAAATTAAATGGTGGGGCCACACTTGACATGCTATTAATAGTTTGTGCGTCTGTTTTAACAAACAGTACAGCATGGTGCTAGCAACATCAAGGTTATGGGTTCGATTCCCAGGGAATGCATGAAAAACAACGTACGCTTTGAAATGCAATGTAAGTCACTTTAGATGGAAGCATCTTCCAATTGCATAAATGTCATGTAAAATACTATATAATAGGGTCGTGGACAGTGATGCAAAAACAATGCTAAATGAATCATAAAATGGTAATATGTAATCATTCATACATTCAAACACAGTTTTTGGTGCTGATATTAGCTGATATTATGTAGAATCGACCCAGTTTCACTGGAAAATTTCACTGTTTTAGGAGTCTGCAATTTCATATGAATTTGTACGGTTTTTAGGAAAAAATTCTGCATGAAGGCCTACTCCTAAACATACTATAAGATACATGAAATTGTAAGTCAGATGACATTTTTAATCAGCATATTTTTGCTTATGCACTTCAAGGTAATCCTAACAAATTTCAATGTTTGATTATTTACATAAGATGAGGTAATGATGTAATGTCCAGGGTGAACTCTTTAGACAAACAGCATTGCCATCTTAAATCTATATGTTAAGCTTTAGTAGTGTATAATTAGGATCTCAAATCCACCATAAATGATCTGACAGTCGTCCTGCAGATGAAAGCGACGATGAGTGCATGGACCGATGGACGGATTGATGTGTGAATGCATGGCTGTATGGAAACAGGCTTCAGCAGGTGTGTTTTGTGCATGTCTCAGTGGTGCGTTCTTCAGCTGGTCGCTGTATTCAGGACCGTCGCTACGGACTTTACGTAAGATGTTGCGCTGGGTGCAGCATCCGTCCCTCTGTACGGCCACGACGCGCACGATCTGCCTGCATACACTTAGAAAAATGCGCTAGTAGGTTTGTTCGCCTCATACCCCGGATAATCAAATGACATTCGATTTTCACACTTCTTCACACATTTTCACGCATCGTTTTTGTTCCAGCGGTGGCATGATCTGTTAACTATATATTCACCGTGTCGGCGCGCACTGACGCGCTCCGGATCTGTGAGAGACGCCGAATCAACGGGGGGGAAAATCATTAGAAGAAGATCCGTCGAGGAGAAAGGAAAAGGTACGATATGCATTTGATCAGATGCAAGATATCAAATGCTGTGCATTGCATTTGATCATAGTTCATGCTGAATGACTGACGCGCAATGCTTTGACATAATAGGTTTCCACATGGTTATGATGTGTATGATTCATTAGAAGAGGATCCGGATGGTGTGATGGATGCATGAGAGGAGAACGGTAAGAATCTTTCATTCAGTGTTCGTTTTATTTCTTTATTTAGCTATTTCTTTATTTCGATATTTATTTATATAAATTAATCTGGACGTTTGGAATTACGGTGATTTGGCGGTTGGCGATGTAAATGACGGCTCGGCTTGATTTGCATTTTTCTTTCTCATTATCCATGAATTACACAGACACCGTGTGCCATTTTGTTGCGCGTCTTCGAGGGAGCGAGCGAGTGAGCGCGCCTGTGTGTGTGTGTGTGTGTGTGTGTGTCAGGGCCTCACTTGTGTATTTCACACGCGTACGACGGTCTCCGTTAAGACGCCGCAGTCACTAACGCATTCAGATGCACCGATTTTCTCTCATATAAGAGCAACAGACCCACTGCGGACGCGGTCCGTCATGATGGAGATCGCCGCGTCTGACGTCTTATGAAGGTTAATTAACAATCAATATAACGGCTTATGAAATAGATGTCTAATTTGTGCATTCGACTCGGTATTTTTTTGGCCTGTGGCTGGTTTTAACGAAGCCGTAGTGCAAACAGAGCGCCGCCACCCAACCGGATTCCGACACCCAGCATCTGCAAATCAATTTAGCGTTGTCATGGTTACAGTGAAGCTGCACCACCGCACCTGTGACACACACACACGCGCGCGAGATGCGCCTGTGTGTGATGGACAAAGATGTTTTAAAGCCATATATTACGAGACCATCTTATTTAGAATTCTGTATGATTTTCTTTGTGTTTCTTTAAATTAGATTTTTCCTGATGTAAGACAACGAGCGCGTTTACACGCACAACCCTACTCTGGTTTTACTTAGTAAGTGTTCTGTTATCAGCTAAAGGTCATACACTTGTTTGTTTTTTTTCCAGTTTTTTTTCTCATTACCACGATCTGCATGTAAATGCTCTCACCGGTGTTCTGAAAGCTTTTCAGTGTGCGCATGTGTTCTGCGCATGCCTGATTATGCTTTGATGTCAAAATGGATAAAAAAAAAATCATTTCAAATCTCATGTAAATGTGTTTTTCTTGTGCCTGGGGTTTCTAGGATGTTTTTTTTGTGCACAATTTTGGTCATGTAAGGTGTTTTTTTTATTTGAATTTGATAAATGTCTGGGTGTACACCTATATTTTTGCCTATTACCCCAATTTTCTATTGCACGTGCGCATGTGTTCTGCGCATGCCTGATTATGCTTTGATGTCAAAATGGATAAAAAAATATCATTTCAAATCTCATGTAAATGTGTTTTTCTTGTGCCTGGGGTTTGTAGGATGTTTTTTTTGTGCACAATTTTGGTCATGTAAGGTGTTTTTTTTATTTGAATTTGATAAATGTCTGGGTGTACACCTATATTTTTGCCTATTACCCCAATTTTCTATTGCATGTAAAAACTTTTACTTGTGTTCTCAATTTTTTTTACACTGTTTGCATCTCAAAACTATAAAAACGGAAAAATTTCAAATATCATGTAAACTTGGTTTTCTTGCTTTGCCGGGTTTGTTGGATGAGTTACATTTTTATTGTAATCAGCGTATTGTGGTAGATGTAAAGATGTTTGATGATTTTTGGCTTAGAAAAATGACCAGGACTAGGTCTCACCCTATAATAAGGGTCTACTTGCTTACTTTACATCTAGATCTACACCTTAACTCTTTTTTGTAGAATTTAATAAAAAAGTGAGTAGAATTCAGGAAAAAAAATCAGCATCATTTATTTAAATATAAGCAGTATTTACTGACATTCTTGCATATGAATCGTCTGTTAGAATATGCTAAAATAACATTCTGCCTAAATATTTATTTGTAAGGCTGTTTATACAAACAAATTCTGCTGCTATTGCATTACTGTCATCCAACATTCGTCATGGGTCATTTGATATCAGCATTATTCTGTATTTATTCATAGTAAACATCAGTGTTCAGTTTTGCATGGACGAGAAGAAATTAAAGCGTTTTGTGTTACAATTATGACTACCTACTCAAGGTTTAAAAGTACTAAAATAAGCTGAAAAAAATAGTGGAAATGAACTGAAATTAAATTCTACTTTGGTTGGGCTAGAGGTCACAAGATTTAATTGCACAGGTCAGAGTTTTTAGTTTGCTGATGTACTCACACCCTTAGCTATATGAAATACGATAAGCTGTACATATATGCAGTTTTTGACCTCTCTCGTCCTCTTTCTCTCTTGTTCCCCCTCCCGTGTATTTTTTCCCAGTAAGCAAGGCCAGTGCTGACTGTGATGATTCTGAGCAGAAGACTCCCGTAGCAGCATCCAGTGCTGTTGACAACTGTGTGGATTACACTTTGATGCCACAAGATACCTGATTCCACAAGTTAATCGTAAAAAAAGTTAATTCTCTCTCTTGTTTTGTGGATGTCATTATTGAAAATACACTTCCATTTAAGAAGTTCTGAGGGTTTTTGGCACTCACTGTTTGCCTTTTTTTGTTTTAGGAAAGGGGCAGGACATGACTCAGTTGCCATGCAGGCTGCTATTGTAACAGGCTTTTTCAGCCCCTCCCCACTCATCTGGTTGGTTCAACTCTTGTTGTGGCCACACCTCCTTGGACCTAGATTGGCCGAAGCCAGTCCTGCCTGCCCTGCCCCCTGTAGCTGTTCCAATCAAGCCAGTCGAGTGATCTGTACCAGAAAAGGCTTAAATGAAGTTCCACAGAGTATCTCGTCCAATACTCGATACCTCAACCTCCAGGAGAATTCCATACAGGTAACCTCCTTGATACCCTAAATAGGTCTATTGGACATTTTCTCCTAGAACTGGAAGTAACCGCATGCTTCTATCCAAAAACTATAGAAACAACCATGCAACCAGCATTTAATTGTTAGAAAAAGGAAAAATGGTCAGATTAAAATGGAAAGAGAATCAATTATGGACCAGTTTACTCCAGATGTCTCCCTAAAAAGTTGCTCCAAACATTAACCATTTCATTGGTGTGCTGATCCTAAAATTTCAAACCAATCAACCAGTGATAATTATGCAAGTACCCAAGATATTAATTTAACTGCCACATTGCTATTTCTATTCAAAATGGAACACAAATTTTCATTACTTGCATGAAATTGCAGAGCCCTTGTGCTAAAGGTACTTGGTCAACGTGCTCTGTTAGTTAGCATTGTAAACCAGTCATCTTCAGTCGATCACAGCATGACAGATGGTCATGCATACGTACATACTGAAATAGCAACAAAATAACAAAGATGCACCTTTCCTGTGTATGCATACTAACACAAATGCATACGGCGATCTTAATCGCTGCTGCAGAACAAGCAAACCTGTAAGAGTATTGATGCAGTAACCCAGTTCCTTAATATGCAGGCTGTTATAACTTACTATATACTCTTCGTCTCTTTTTCTGCAGGTGATCAGGTCAGACACCTTCAAGCACCTAAATCATCTGGAAATCTTGCAGTTGTCTAAGAACCAGATTCGTCAGATAGAAGTGGGAGCTTTCAATGGCCTTCCCAATCTTATCACCCTGGAGCTTTTTGACAACAGACTACCACTGGTACCATCACAGGCGTTTGAGTACCTGAGCAAGCTGCGTGAACTCTGGCTAAGGAATAACCCCATAGAGACACTCCCGGCGTACGCCTTCCACCGCGTGCCGTCCCTGCGACGGTTAGACCTTGGCGAGCTGCGCAAACTCAGTTTCATCTCGGAGGCTGCGTTCGAAGGGTTGCTGAACCTACGTTTCCTGAATCTGGGCATGTGCGGGCTTAAGGATGTACCCAACTTGACGCCTCTTGTGAGGCTAGAGGAACTGGAGCTGTCTGGAAACCAGCTGGGAGTGGTGCGTCCCGGATCTTTCCAAGGCCTGGTGTCTCTACGCAAATTGTGGCTCATGCATTCTCGGATCTCCGTCCTTGAGAGGAATGCCTTCGATGACCTCAAGAACCTGGAGGAGCTCAATCTGTCCCATAACTCTCTGCATTCGCTGCCCCACGATCTCTTCACTCCACTGCAGCAGTTAGAGCGTGTCCATCTGAACCACAACCCCTGGGTTTGCAACTGCGACGTTCTGTGGTTGAGCTGGTGGCTTAAAGAAACCGTGCCTGATAACTCCACTTGTTGTGCACGTTGCCATGCCCCACCGGGTACTAAGGGCAGGTACATTGGTGACCTCGACCAGCGAGACTTCACCTGCTACGCACCTGTGATCGTGGAGCCACCCACCGACCTGAACGTGACGGAGGGAATGGCAGCGGAGCTGAAATGCCGCACTGGGACATCCATGACTTCCGTTAACTGGTTGACACCCAATGGAACCTTGATGACCCATGGTGCCTACAAGGTCCGGATCTCGGTCCTGCATGACGGAACCCTGAATTTCACCAACGTGACCATGCAAGACACTGGACCCTACACCTGTATGGTCACCAACTCTGCTGGCAACACCACAGCAACTGCTGTGTTGAACGTCTCCGCACCTGACCCAGGCAATGGCTACAGCTACTTCACAACTGTTACCGTTGAAACTGTAGAGAATGGGCAAGATGGCCACGATTCGGCACGGCAGTTTGTCAACGAGACGTTTATTAGTATTCCAGGGCCGACGGCTGCATCTGCATCAGCAGGTCCCACTGGCTCGATGCTGTCCTCCTTGTCGCCTCGAGCCACGCGTGCACCTGATCACCCGTTTACAGTCTCCATCACGGACGTCGCCAACCTGTCGGGTCTAGAGGACGTAATGAAGACGACCAAGATTATCATCGGCTGCTTTGTGGCCATCACCTTCATGGCGGCCGTGATGCTGGTCGTCTTCTACAAGCTTCGCAAGCAGCACCAACTGCACAAACACCACGGCCCGGCTCGCGCCATCGAGATCATCAACGTCGAGGATGAGATCGGATCTGCTGGTGGAGCTAGTGGCATCACGGGAGGGAGCACCGTTCACATGGGAGCGGGATCTGGTGGAGGAAGTGGACAGAGTTCGAGGAATCACGACCCTGAGATCATGACCTTGCCGAGTGTTGGGCAAGCGGACCACCTGAACCACTACTACAAAGCGCACCACTTTAACAACAACGTGCTGGGCTTGAACATGGCCTCTGGAATGCTCAACAACAAACCCAACCCTTCCTCCCAAAACCAGGCTTCGACCATGAAAATGGGGACTTCTGGTGACCCCTCCAACCCTGGCTCGACCTCACCTCCCCTGCCAATTCCCATCCCAATGGCGATGACCTTCCATGGAACTCTGAAAGGCCTTAGTCACGTTCCCAACATGCATACTGAGCCGCTGTTGCTATCGAATGGCTCCAAGGAGAGCGTTCAGGAGACCCAGATCTGATTACCTTCGCAGACACATGCACACGCAGGAAGGGAAGTAGACTGGTTTTTACGCCAGTGTGACTGTCGAGTCTCTGCGGTCTTTGACTTTTGGAACTCCGTCCCTTTCTGACAGATTCTATGGAATATTCTGTTCGATGAACAGAGAGACAGGCTTTTACTGATGAAGTGGACACGGCGCTGTTGAGTACATACGTGCCAAAGCAAGCGTCTTTTTTGCAGTTCTTATGAGTTGTGTACGCGTATAAAAAATATAGTCTATATTAAAGTAGTGTAATTACTTAAGTGTTGGTTTGCCACAGTCCAGCGACACCGAGTACACACACCGATGTACAGCAGCTAACAGACCTGTATAAAAGCATACACACATTTACACTTCCTGGAGGTTGACATCATTATTCATCGTACTCACCTCGGTAGGTAGTGTACCTGTGTGTGTGTGTGTGTATGTGTGTGTGTGTGTGTGTAAGGGACAGTATTAACTGAGACTAATTCAAAAATAAAGACTTAAACTGCTGTGATCCAGAACACATGCTCATGTTCACTCTGCGTCATGATGACATTCTGAATCTAGCACAAGTGACGATCAGTTCATAAGCTCAGAAATCTGAACTCTAAAAGACACCAGTTTCAGGGTGACATACACTTTCATCATACCTAGAGGAGAGGGCAGAGAGAAGAAGCCTTTCCATGTGAACAATTAGAGTACTTGGCTGCTGTCCTCAGCAAAGGTACCACAGTACCTGCCGCCGTAGTGCAAACTCTCTGTGCATATCTGCGTTCGAAGAGATCTTGAGTGTCATATGTTTGTCTTTTCGCCTGAATTGAAGAGTAACAGCAGTGTGTAAGGGCTATTTCACTGGCATTTGATGTGTGTAGAATGTGTCTGGACTTAAAGTCAACATGAAACGCAACATTTAACTTCTGTAGTATGAAACAGGATATTCAGTGGACGCAGGGTGGGACTTGACTTTATTCATCAGGAATTGATTGGATCGTGAAATGCGGGCGTACCAGAATGGAGTCAAGAGGGATTTGTGATGGTAGCCGAACCGGAAAGTCATTTCAGAGGCGGAGCAGGTTACATTTTGATAAAAGATTCTGAAGATATTTTTTTCTTACTTGGCATAACGTGCACAGATGACTCGTGCACAATAAGGAATGTGTGTTAACGTAAACAGCGTCCATTTTGAGTTCATGTTGACTTTAAAATAAGCTGTATTAAAGCTTTGAAATATACTGGGATACGCAGCACAGGGGATTTCGCCGACATGAAAAATTTTAGATTTTTAACAGAGAGAGAATGAAAGACATTGTGAAAATGTCCAGATTTTTCTGATGAAAGATTTTGCAATATGATATGTAATCTAATGTAAAGATTTTCAAGTATACTGTTTATAAATCCAAATCGCTGGGTTTGGGAATCAGGGTTCAGGGAATGGGAATAATACCGCTCTTGAGCTGCTTCAAATTTAAGGTTAGTCATCCATTTGGGGGAAAACTTATATGCCTCACTTTCAGAGAGTATTTTCTTTGAAGAGATTCCCGGACTGACAGGTCCTTCGTGGGAGCCATACGCTGTATTAAAGCTTTGAAATATACTGGGATACGCAGCACAGGGGATTTCGCCGACATGAAAAATTTTAGATTTTTAACAGAGAGAGAATGAAAGACATTGTGAAAATGTCCAGATTTTTCTGATGAAAGATTTTGCAATATGATATGTAATCTAATGTAAAGATTTTCAAGTATACTGTTTATAAATCCAAATCGCTGGGTTTGGGAATCAGGGTTCAGGGAATGGGAATAATACCGCTCTTGAGCTGCTTCAAATTTAAGGTTAGTCATCCATTTGGGGGAAAACTTGTATGCCTCACTTTCAGAGAGTATTTTCTTTGAAGAGATTCCCGGACTGACAGGTCCTTCGTGGGAGCCATACGACAACTGCTGACTACATAAAGCATTCTATTCATCCTTGAATGGCTTTGAAGTTGTATAATAACAATGTGCAATGTGCCATTAATTGGAGTAGAGTACACATGCGTGTATTATTGTAATTGCTGCATTAAACTTTATTCGGTTTTTAATTTCCAATTCATCATCTTTTATCAGATTGTTGGTGTTAAAACTGATTCATCCTTTTTCAAATGCTGGGAACTTTCTTAAATCAAACCGGGCAATTGTTTTCTGCATTCATGTATCACGTTTGATTAAGGACACAAGTGCTATACATAGTTTTCCATTATAGCCCACCAGTCCTTCAAATGTCTCCCTGCTAGTCTTCATAATGGAATTATAGGGCGAACTATATTTTTTTTCTGCTGCTTTCATTGCTTTCCATATTTCTCCCTACAGTATGATAGCTGATTGTGTTTGAATATCCAGTGGAGTTGCTTAGCAACAACATCATTGCCAGAAAATGCTCTTAAAAGCTTATTGTAGCACCTGACCCTCATCTGCTGATGCGGAACATAGGTAGATCAGAATTACGTCAGTATCACACAAGTAAAAGGTTAGTTAATGTGAGGAACGCGTCCTCGCTTTGCGTCCTCGACACCAGAAAAGACTGAAACGTGCACATCTTGAGGTGTACATATTTGCATTGATCTCGGATCCAATATTTGAACATTTTAGCCTATTTAACGCTAGCAAATTGAATGGTTTTGTCAAAACACATCCGTGTAATTTTAAAAGCTTCATGAACAACTGGTTTCTACAAACAAGCCTCGATTTGCTACACGAGAATCAGTGAGATTCTCATTCTGAATCTTACTCTTCTGCATCGGTTAATTTTCCTGAAAAAGAACGTCTGAAGTTTTTAAATGCATATGTACCTGATCATTTTGGAGATTTTTTTACACCAGCATATAGCAAACATACATCGACTAAAGGTCACAAATGGAGTCTTTGCTTGAGTCTGCATTTGCATTTGAGCCTTTCCATACCTTTTTTTTATTATACAAGCAAACTTGTGAAACGTTAAATGGCCAAATGCTTACCTGCCCAAGATCATGAGGCAGTGAATCAGTTCGTCAGCGTTCAGATGTGTGTCATCCCGTAGCAGGTTGTTCTTCTCATCTATGCATCCTCTCTGCGGCCAGCAAAATCACATTACTCTTACGGCTACTGAGAGACAATTCATCTAAACCTTTCCCCATTTTCGAAAGCTGCTCTAAGCTGATTTCACTGGCTGTGAGATGAAGACCCGTGTTGAAGCTGTTTCTGAATCAGCACAGAAAGATTGTATTATGACTATTAAATGAAGCGGTGTTATCACTGTAGACTCTTAATGTGGTGGGTCGCTCTCTCTATCACCTTCTCACACTGACCATGTGTTCATGTATTGCCATGTATATAATCTAAAGATGTAAATATTCTCTATTTTTTGACTTACCATTAGCAGAACACGTGTTCTTCAGGATTTGAAACAGAACAAAGCTTTTTGGAAACTATCTGCATTTCTCACTCCTTCTATTTATGTGTGAATCTCATGAAAACGGGCCATATTTCACCACAGCATCTAATGAAAAGAATTGTATTGTGCATATAGAAAAATAACCTTGTTTTTTTCTTTTCTTTGTGACATTTCATTTTATGATAATCAAGCTAATTTTACCGCTTGTGCTGTATGGATATTTTATTTTTGATTTTGTTTGTAGAATTTTCAAATTGTATTGTAGATTCTCATTACTGTGTATAATACAAAAAAGCAGTATAATTTTTAAATATATAAATTAGCATGAAACAGTGGGTACATCAAACAGTAACATTATATTACAGTTTTTTTGTTGTTGCAATTTTGAGAATGATTTTCTTTTGTTACAGTTTTTTTCTGATGAAATGTCACATTGCTAAAAAAATCACTGAAAATAGACTGAATAATACAATTTTGTGGTGAAATTTCACCAGTTTTTGGCCATTTTTTTGAGATTCACTCGTATGTTTCTCTGTATCTCTATCTATAGGACAACACACTCCTCAAAAAAATAAAAAATAAAATAAAGTTCTTTTTTTGCATTAAAAAAATACAGTACCGCTGATATCAGCTCTGTTCCAGATCTGTTTACCTATTTATTTGTACTGAGTATTTTTAGTTCATTTGCTTTCTTTTCTCTGTTGATGCTGTGTGGTTCGGCTGTGGAGAGCTAGTTGATTAGCCATCAGTTCCGGGTCAAAGGTTGTGGCAAATGCTTAACTGTGCGTGTGAGCCTCTGCACTATGCCATTCGCTACACAGATGCTCTTTATCAATAAAACATGGACATTGTTGGCTTTAGAACTCTGTGTCTTTATGTTCGACCTTTTTAAAAGGCGTTGTAAATAAGATATTTTTGAAGTGATTCTGTGGCCTGTGCCTTTTTTCATAGCCAATCAGTAACACTGTCTGCATGTGACTTGTGTCTGTTGAAGGCGGAGTTTCGGAGAGGGGGTGTGGTCTAATTTGAGACCAATGGTCTGGTGGAAGTTTGGAAAATTGCTTACAGCACTGTTGATATTCAATCTATCTTTCTGCAGAAGGATTAAATCAGTGGTTCTCAAATGTTTTATTTAATAAAATCACATGATCCTTCAGAAATCATTCTAATATGCTGGAAATATTATTTATTTTTCAGGATTATTTGCTCAGTATAAGATATAACATATATTTGAAATGGAATCTTTTGTAACATTATAAATGTCTGTTTGATCAATTCAATGCGTCCTTTTTGTTTACTATTTTATTGTTATTTATTTGATTGAATCTTACCTACCCCAAACTTTCACAGTTTCACCGTTGCCACAAAAATATTGTGCAGCACGACTGTTTTCAACATTGATAATAATCAGAAATGTTTCTCGAGCAGCAAATCAGCATATTATACTGATTTCTGAAGATCATGCGACACTGAAGACTGGAGTAATGATGCTGAAAATTCAGCTGCGTATCACAGGAATAAATTACATTTGAACAGATATTCACATAGAAAAGAGTTATTTTCAATTTCAACTGTAATAATTACAGCTTTTACTGTATTTCTAATCAAACCAATGCAGCTGCGGTGAGCAGAAGAGGCTTTTCGGAATCACTACAAATCCAAACTTTTAACCAGTAGCGTGTAGCCACTGAATATTCCTGAAAACTGTATGTGGGAAATCTCGGTTTGGTTGCGGCCTCACCTAAACGCCACACACTTCCTGCATACACTCCCTGTTCTGTATTATACTGATTTCTGAAGATCATGCGACACTGAAGACTGGAGTAATGATGCTGAAAATTCAGCTGCGTATCACAGGAATAAATTACATTTGAACAGATATTCACATAGAAAAGAGTTATTTTCAATTGCAATAATATTACAGCTTTTACTGTATTTCTAATCAAACCAATGCAGCTGCGGTGAGCAGAAGAGGCTTTTCGGAATCACTACAATTCCAAACTTTTAACCAGTAGCGTGTAGCCACTGAATATTCCTGAAAACTGTATGTGGGAAATCTCGGTTTGGTTGCGGCCTCACCGAAACGCCACACACTTCCTGCATACACTCCCTGTTCTGGTTGCAGCGTTTCCATAGCAACTGTGAAATGTGGGAAACCCTCTGTCCTTCAGAGAGGAGTGAGGGGGAGCTGCTAATCAAGCGATGGAGCTCTTGGAAATCATCTGCATCGATGCCGCTCGCCGACTGACTATGCCTTATTGTATTTTTCCACTGTCTCGTGTCCCGCTCACACCCCTGACAGATGCGTTCGGCTGCATCTCTATACCATCTGTAGTGACTGCGTAGTGTTTCTAGCTGTCTGTAGGTTCAGGTCACAGTCTTTATGTTGGCTTATATTTGATATATATGGGATAGTTATCGGCAGTTGTTGTTAATCAGATTCGAGCATCTGTGAGCATTGAACGTCTGCATCAGTAGCGAGGCCTCTGTTTCCATGACAACCTGGGTCTGAAAATAGCCTGCTCTCTCTCTCTCTCTCTCTCTCTCTCTCTCTCTCTCTTTCTAACATGCATGTATTTATTGTCTCTGAAGACATGCCAGTGTTTTTTCCCTCCTTTTCCCTGCTGTCTGACTCTCCCCTCCGCTCCCCTCATTGGCTTTCCCCTCCCCTTTGCTTTCCAGAGCTCACCTCTCTGCTCTTCTCCTCTCCTCCGCTCATCTCCCCTCCATCGCGGCTGATATATAGTGGCTCAGTTGCCATGGAAACCTGCAGAAACTATGGTGATGGTCTTACAGCATTGCCTCAGCAGCACCAAGTGGCTGAGCACAACTGCATGCAATGATTTATGCAAATTAATACAGTAAATTGGCCAAGTCAAACTGAAAGGTTTGTTTTTATTATGATTATTGTTATTAGTTTTTTGCTGTCAATATTTGGCTATTAATATTCTAATATTATATATATATATATATATAATATAGATAGATAGACAGATAGATATCTATATATCTATATACAGTGGGTACGGAAAGTATTCAGACCCCCTTAAATTTTTCA